TAAATCCCTGTGTATATCCCCTGTTCATTGTTTCTCTATGTTAGATAATAAAGTCTTGTAATCAAATTCAGCCAGTCTATTACAAATAAAACACAATGGGTGTGCGATGAAGTGGGAATTTTTCATAAAGTTTCATATGAATATGGTGTATGCCTCAGTTTCCCCATGTGGTGCATATTTAATTAGGTGGGGGAAAGGGCTGTTTACTCTTTGCAGAATCTCAGAGACAGAGGCGTGACTGAGGCCCAGCTGCCTGGGACCTGGGTGCCCATGCCCATGGAGATTCCCAGGAGACAATGGCCACTACAATTGCCCGGACATTTGGCTGCCTAGGAACAAATGACCATAGGTGGATCAACCTCCACAGGAATCCAGCTGGGTGTAACCAGCTGGAGGACAAAGGACTGGGGAGGGGCCACGGGGGGTTCTTAAGTGTGCAATGTTGGAGGCAGGGAGAAACTTCTGGACTGGGACTACAGGGGGTTCAGAGGGCTCTGTGACTGACCCAGATGGGATATGCTGTAACTTTTAATTCTCTAGGGTAGGCTTCTTGGCTTCACCGCCTCCAGGGACCCAACTTCAACAAAACAACCTGTAGTTTAATACTGCTACATAGTTAACACAAGATCTGTGCCTAAGGACACTAGACTGCATTGAAAAATCTCAGACCAAGATTTTAGTTGATGTATTTATTCATTTTGACTCCTAAGACATGGCATGATTCTGGCCCTTGCCAGAAGTGGATGCTGCATTTAAGCATCATTGTTAAACTTCAGTTTGTCACTAGATGGGATATGATAGTAGATAATGAAAGGGTCTGATCTGTCATATCAGTTCTTGGTTAACAGAGAAATGGGCTGTTATAGTAATTATTGCTGTGATATGGCAGAGGCTGATCTACATGGATACCAATGATCAGCTGCATGCCATGCTAGTGGGGGACCCTACCAGTACCCCAACACTCTCCATGGACACCTGCAAGGTGTCAACCTCACACAACATGGAGGAGGATTTTGTGGATGAGGAAGAGGAGGAGAATGCGCAGCAGGCAAGCAGAGAATCTGTTCTCCCCAGCAGCCAGGACCTTTTCCTTAGCCTGGAGCCAATACACTCCCAGGGCCTATTGTTCCCGGACCCTGAAGGTGGAGAAGGCACATCTGGTGAGTGCACATTTGTCACGACACTACAGGGGTTAAAAGCAATTTTTTTTAATGTTTGATTTGCCCTAAACAATTGGGATGCATTCGCGGCCAGTATGTACAGCTAATGGAAAAGTCTGTTAATGTGTCTGGGGATGGAGTGGGAATCCTCCAGGGACATCTCCATGAAGCTCTCCTGGAGGTACTCTGAAAGCTTTTGCAGAAGGTTTCTGGGGAGAGCTGCCTTATTTCGTCCTCTGTTAGTACATTTTACCATACCAAGCCAGTAGCAAGTAGTCTGGAATCATTGCAGCACAAAGCATGGCAACGGATGGTCCTGTGTATTGGTCACATTCAAAAAACATTGGTGAGCCCCAACACATTAGACCCCAGGCATGCTGGGCTGTTTGCTTTTGGCTAAAAGGGATCAACCCGGAGAATAGCCACGGGGGGAAGGGGGAGGAAAGGGTGTGCTTCACATCCACCCCAGAAATGCAGCCCCTCCTTTTAAATGGCAAACCCAACCGGCATTGGTTGCTATGGGAAAGGAGGACACTGCAGTTTGAAACCATTCCCATATGTTATGAACACAGAAGAAACCAAACCCACGTACGCTTTGGCTTACCATGGCTGCCTCCAAAACAAATTCTGTTGCCAAGCTGTGTGTGATGTGTCACCATACTGGCAGGCGCTCAATATAAAAGGCAAAATGTGACCTTGTACCTAAAGCACGTGCTGTCTGCTGTGAATTGCTTGATTCACTGTGAAAGAGTCTCCCTTTTGTTCTCAGAAATGTATCTTCTTAAAAGTCTACTCTCCCTTTTCCCCCCTCCCCTGCAACTCCGTCCCTGAGGTTATCGCAGATTAGAAGGCAAAAAAAAACCCCACACACGATGACATGTTTTCATAGTTCATGCAATCCTCTCACGCTGATAGGGCACAGCTGTATGCATGGAGGCATTCGGTGGCAGAGACCAGGAAAGCATATAACGAGCCAGATCGGAACATGCAAGAGGCAATGCTGAGGCTAATGGGGGAGCAAACGGACATGATGAAGCGTCTGGTGGAGCTTGAAGAAGGGAAACTAGAGTACAGCTCCCTGCTCCATCCACTGTGTAACCGCCTGCCCTCCTTGCCAATTTCCATATCCTCCTCACTCAGATGCCCAAGAATGTGGCGGGGGGGGGGGGGGAAATGCTCCGGTCACCCTGCCACTAGGGTGACCAGATGTCCCGATTTTATAGGGACAGTCCCAATTTTTGGGTATTTTTTCTTATGTATGCTCGGATTACCCCCACCCCCATCCCAATTATTCTCAGTTGATGTCTCGTCACCCTACCTGCCACTTGACTCCAGGGGATGGCACAAGCAACAGAAGGCTGTCATTCAAACAACTTTGATTTTTAGTGTGGCTACAATAAGCAATGTGGCCTTGTCCTTCCCTCTTCCCCCACCCCTCCCCATTATCAAACCCTTTGTACACCCAGGCTTCCTTTTATAAGTCAGCGTTGTCAGTGATCTCATTGTTTTTTTAATAAATAAAGAATGAATGGATTCAGAACAATAGGATCTTTATTTCCTGTGCCAGCTGTGGTTGAAGGATGGGAGGGGGATTGGCTTACAAGGAGGTACATTCACCAAAGGGGGTGGGTTTCCATCACGGGTAAAAACACACAACTGTCACACCGTAGCCGGGTCAGTCATGAAACTGTTTTTCAAAGCCTCTCTGATGTGCAGCTTGCCTCGGTGTGCTCTTTTAATTGCTCTGGCATCTGGCTGTTCAAAATTGGCCACCAGGCAATTTGCCTCAACCTCCCACCCCGCCATAAACGTCTCCCCCTTACTCTTACAGATATTATGGAGCACACAGCAAGCAGCAATAACAATGGGAATATTGCTTTCACTGAGGTCTAACCTATTCAGCAAACTGTGTCAGCGCCCTTTTAAATGCCCAAAGGCACATTCTACCCCCATTCTGCACTTGCTCAACCATAGTTCAACTGTTCCTTATTGCTGTCTAGGCTGCCTGAGTAGGACTTCATGAGCCATGGGAGCAAGGTGTAGGCAGAGTCCCCAGGGATAACTATTGACATTTCAACATCCAAAATGGTAATTTTATGGTCTGGGAAGAAAGTCCCTTCTTGAAGCTTTCCGAACAGCCAGGAGTTCCAAAAGATGTGAGCATCATGTTGATGTCGATGAAATGGCCCTTGTGATCCACCAGTGCTTGTAACACCATTGAGAAATATCCCTTGCGGTTAATGTACTCTTTGGCAAGGTGGTCTGGTGCCAAGATAGGGATATGCGTTCTGTCTATAGCCCCACCACAGTTAGGAACCCCATTGCAGCAAAGCCATCCACTATGACCCGCACATTTCCCAGAGTCACTACCGTTCTTAGCAGAAGGGTATTGATTGCCCTGGCTACTTGGATTACAGCAGCCCCCATGAGAGATTTGCTCACTCAGAATTGATTCCCGACTGCACAGTAGCAGTCAGGCATTGCAAGCTTCCACAGGGTTATTGCCACTCACTTCTCAACTGTCAAGGGAGGTCTCATCTTGGTATTCCTACACTTCAGGGTAGGGGAAAGCAACTCAGAAAGTTCCATGAAAGTGGCCTTACACATGCGAAAGTTTCGCAGCCACTGGGAATCATCCCATACCTGCAACACTATGCGGTCTCTCCAGTCTGTGCTTGTTTGCCAGGCCCAGAATCAGCGTTCCACTGTATCAACATGCCCCAATACTGTCATGATATTCTAATTGCCACATACCATGCTTTCAGGAGCTTCTGTGTTCATGTCCTCCTCACAATCTTCCTAGCTAGGCTCTGCACATACTTCAGGATAATGCATGAGGTGTTTGCAATGTTCATAAAAGCAGTGTTCACCTGAGTGGGCTCCATGCTTGCCATGCTATGGAGTCTTCATGGATAACCCAGGAAAAAAGGCGCAAAATGATTGTTTGCTATTGCTTTCAAGGAGGGAGGGGAGGGGAGACATGTACCCAAAACCACCCGTGACAATGTTTTTGCCCCATCAGGCACTGGGAGCTTAACCCAGAATTCCAATGGGCAGCAGGGACTGTGGAATAGCTACCCACAGTGCACCACTCCGTGAGTTGATGCTAGCCACGGTATTGAGGATGCACTCCACTGACCTAATGTGCTTAGTGGGGACATGCACGATCAACTGTATAAAATTGGTTACTAAAGATTGACTTCTATAAAATCGACCTAATTTCGTAGTGTAGACATGCCCCTAGATTCCAAATTGTTGCCCCAGTTTAAGTGTAAAGCAGCCTTGTGGCCCTTGCCCATCAAAGAGCAACCTTTTCACAAGGTGGCTGTGGACATAGTGGGGCCCCTCAGCAAGGAGATCCAGTCAGGGAAGAAATACATACTGGTGGTGGTAGATTTCACTACCCGCTACCCCAAGGTGTGCATCTGTCCTCCAGCAAGGCAGACACCGTGGCAGATGCGCTGCTGACCATTTTCAGCATGGTGGGGTTCCCCAGAGAGGTCCTTACAGACCAGGGATCCAATTTCATGTCAGCCCTGCTCTGGTGCTTGTGGGAGAAATGTGGGGTTCAGCACACCAGGGCCTCTGTATATCACCCTCAGTCCAACGGGCTGGTGGAATGGTTTAATGGGACTCTGAAGAAGGTGCTGAGGACTTTTATGGATCAACAGCCAAAGAACTGGGACAAGTATTTACCCCACCTGCAGTTCACATACAGAGAAATGACTCAGAAATCCACAGGGTTTTTCCCTTTCGAGTTGCTGTATGGGAGGAGGATGAGGGGACCCTGGGACTTGAGGGACGAATGGGAGGGGGAAGGGCTCTTTTGATGGGGACTCGATGGTGGAGTATGTGCTGTCTTTTCGAGAAAGGCTCACTGAGCTCATGGGTTTGTCCAGGGAGTACTTAGCCCAGGCCAAAGGGAAACAGGAGGTCGGGTGCGACCGCTCACTGCGTGCCTGCTCCTATGGCACCCGGGACCAGGGGATGGTTCTCATCTCTGTGCAGAAGAATAAGAATAAGAATCTCCAGGCTGCCTGGGATGGGCCCTTTGAGGCCATCAAGCAGTGGAATGAGGTGAACTATGTGGTTGTCACTGAAATATCGGGTCCACCTAACTGAGAGCCAATAACAGCCAGACAGGGATAAGGAAGAGTTGCTTTATTCTGCAGAAGAAAGGAGAGCTTTGCACCTTGGTACAAAGG